CTCCACCCCCCACCCCTCCCCTCCCCTCCCCCCAGTCATCTTCCCTCTGTGCGGCTGAGGAGAGCAGAGATGAGCTCCTCCATCCACAGTAGGCAGCGTACTGGCAGAGGCTGCTGTCCAAGGTGCTGATATTTATGTGACGTGGAGGCCACGTGCTGATATTCATCCACGGATGGAGAAAAGAAAAAAATATTGTAAGAAACAGTGTGTGTGTGTGTGTGTGTGTGTGTCTGTGTGCGTGTTTCACCATCTCATGCGTGGTGTCATAAGACTCTAATAAAGCAGAACAAAGACTCTCCGGGGTCGGGACAGCAGGGACAGTGTGCACACAATAGATTCAATAGATCCACCACTCACACATTCACTATCTGTCATGCAATTGTTTCAGAGGAGACTGTCTACTGTCTGTTATTAGATAAACAGGCGCCTGTTCCATCACCACAAAGAGAGGCATTGTAGCTGTTCGCTGAATTATACTTGGCTAAAAATATAAGCATTATGAAGAAATATTATCTCCAGAAAACCATCAAATCACTGCTGAATATGAGAGAGTGTGTGTAAGAGAGGCATGTTGTTTATGATATGTTGTAGGATTTATGACAAAAAGCTCACAGATCTACAGCCAGAGGAGCAGAAAATAGTTTATTTAATTGTAATAAATTCAATTATGTGATCAGCTGCAGGAGAGGTGAGGAAGTTCATGTTTGCATTAACATTTTGCTCTAGTAGCACACATTTACTGTATGGGTTTCTGATTTAGTTCCCCATTTTCATCTAAAGTCAAGTGTCAAGTGCTCAAGGCTTCTTTCAGAATCAGGAGGCTTTGTGTTAATTCTGAGTAATCAATATTTACTTAAATCCCTCCTCTACAGGAAATTAACAGTTGATGTTTATTTCCTTTAAGAAATCCAAAAAATATCATTCATTATTGATCTGATTTGATCTAATTGGTCTTCACGTGTGTTTAAGGCACAATGATACTATCGTAATTGGTAATAAAAATATATACCTACATATATACTTTTTTTTTTAAAGTTCCAAAGTGCTTTAAAATAGAAACAGATTCAAATGTGAAAGGAGTACAAAGTAATGTGATAAAATAGATAGAAATAAAATAAATAGGTGTTTAAACTAACTGTATGTTTGGTTGAGATGTTGATAGATGAATGTTGTTCATGGTCTCACACAGACACCACAGAGATGATAACGTGTTAACTTTTCTTACAGTAATAAAGAATCTCTTTAAAATAGGTCATCCTGGACGCTGACAAATGCTTATGAGCGCAGTCGAAGCAGCAGTGGAGTTTCCCAGCCTTCCCACCTTACCTGCATCTCATCTCCTCATTAGTTTTCTTTGTCAGTTCATCCTAGTTGCTTTTGTTGTTTTTTTGCTTTGTGCTTTTGTGTTCAAGTTTTGGTTACCTGTACCTATCTGCTTTATTGCCTACATGTCGTCCTGCTGCCCCCTTTGTCTGCATTTGGGTCTTAGTCCTGTTGCCTTGCATAACCAGCGATGACAGATATCACTTACAGACTTTAACTGATGAGGTGAAGCCAGCAGTGTTGCAGGAAAGGCAAAAGAAGATGTGGGCCAATGATAGTTAACACAGCGCCAATAAACTCTGGCTCTAGAGTGTGAATACTGATCACAGAACAGGATCATGCAGCGTAAAGTGACTTCATCTGTGGGACAAAGGAGGGTGCGAAGTTTTCAGAGGGTTGTGATAAACATGATTACAGAGCCCTTGTCAGTTTAAATATGAATGTAAACAAACATGTTAAACACAGTTATTATCATTTTTGATATCAGAAATGTGATTATGCAACTTGTCATCATAACTGTCACATTTTAACTAATACTGCTATTTCACCTGCACTGACTCAAGATTTAGACTCTTGTCTGCTCTGTGACAAAAATAACGGGAAGAAATACAGTCAGTCGTCAGCAGAAAGATTTTAACCTCCTATCACCAAAATTAGTCAACATTTAGTGACAAATCTCACAACTGGTCAAATGTTTGAAACATCTCCTCTAAACTCTCAATATTGCTGCTACTTATTTGGTTATATCCTCGAGCCTCAAACAAATTTAAATTAAATTGTATTCTTTGGTAAAAAAAATATGAATTATTAGTTGATTAACATTGTGGTTACAACACAAATATATGAAGAAATGAATGAATATAAAAAGAGCTATCTGAATATAAAACATTAATCACAATGTTTACTGTCAACACAAACTAATAGGCAAAGATTTATATTTAAAAGATAAATTTACTATTTTTATATATTGTGTGTGAGTATGGAAATGAATGTACATAGAATATGTAGGTTAATATGTGCTTTATATTTTATTTGTATATGTGTAGTATATTTTATAATATTTGTAGATATTTTCCATTACACTTTTAGTTTTTTTTTTTGTCCTTTGCTTCGTCTTCATTCTACTATTTCTATTTTTCTTCTTTGCCTTCTTCCCTCAGAAATCTCTCACTGATATTCTCAGTGTTTCTTAACTTTTTATATTTTAGAGAAGCAGTGCCTTCTTACAGACTTTCGTCGCAGCCACTGAGACAGTATGACGTGTCAGGGTCACTGTACCACATCCCCATTTCTGGCCAAAAGCCAGAAACTGTGGATACTGGCAGCGTCTACTTCCTTCCCCTGCAGCATGCAGCGGGAACACAAATGTAGGAGCCGCAGCTGGGAACAAAACTGTACAAACCCTGAAAGACTGAACCCCAAATGGATCGGTTGTGCAGGACACCAGAACACATAAACTGTAACTGACCAACCAGGATTTTATTTATAGACAATCACAAGTCCACCATTCATGTTTTTTTCTGCAATCACATGCTGTTTTCAAAACAGGCAGACATTGTGCAGCTTATTTGTAACCACTGAACATCCATAAAGGAACCAAAAATCAACATTTAATTACACTCTTATTGCAGATTATTGCTAATGAGTTACAAACACAAATTGCATTGATTCTATTTTCCCATTTGGACCCCAAACTAACATCTAAAGCCAGAAACAAACAGGCCATCAGGCTGGATGTGCAGTAGAGTGAACAATGCTGTAGGAGCTAAGTGTTTTTTAATGTAAGTTAATGTTGGTTTATTATGAAGTAACAAAAAGTAGGTAGATGTCCTGATATTTCTGTTTTAAGATTAAATCAGTAGTGGTCAGACTGGCCACTGTATTGATGAATCAGTGATTAAAATCATGTAGATTTAACAGCTTCATGGTATTATGACATTTATAGATATCCAATAAAGCAAAGTCTGCCAGGCCTCAACTCATTATTCCAAAATGAGACAGCAAGAGAGCTACAATGAGGGGGACGATGCTTTTCATGTGTTTTCTTTCTTATTACTTCATTTTTATGGAATAAATTATGTCCAAAACATGGAATATTATTAGATGTAATGAAACTCTTTTCACTTTTATGGAAATAATACATGAATTTAATGTGTACTTGTAGATGTGATAGGTGAGTGTGAATCTTTCTCACATTTCTTTTCTTTCATTTTCATTTTTACTATGATGAGTTTTAACTGTTACACCCAGATTAGTAACAAGATGACAACGTTTGTGGTTATGAACCTGGCAATGACACGATTGAAGTAGGAAACTGAACTTAACTTAAACTACTTTTTATATTGTGTCTTCTTTCTCACCTCACTGTATGCTATGACTGTGATTATAGCAACTTTATTTATGTATAAATCTTATGTTTCTATTAATAGTACGTTCCTATAATCTTTTGGTTCTTTTATCTTCTGTGTGCAAATATGACTGATTGTGTTTTCTCTTTCTTTGCTGATAAACTTTTTACTCCTTTAAAGTATTATGCTTTTGTATGTTGTTTGGCTACTTAAAAATAAGAAAAAAAATGTGTGGTAGGCCCTGAAATACTAGGTGTGAGTGACATATATGTAGGCCTATTATCTATTATTATTATTATTATTATTATTATTATTATTATTATTATCTGAGAGATCAGAATCAGTTTTATCAACTAATTTGAATCTGGTTTTAAGTTGTTCATAAAGTTATAAAATATAAAAATAAATAAAAAATATAAAGTTAAAAACCAGAACAACAAAGCTGAACAAACATGAGTTTATACTAGTTTATACAGTATACTCTGAAGTACATACAACAAAAGTATATATAAACAACAATAATGAATAACAACATACTTGAATTGTTTCTGTATACTGTAAATAAGAATAGTGCAAGAGTGCTGTAATAAATATTGAATGGGTAACAGATTACTTTAGAGGCTTTACATGTGGATATATACAGTATATACAGTGTGCTTAGATTACAGACAGATTGCAGATTACATAATACACAGATTGTGTATCATTATTAGTGTTTATTTATAATACAGCCAGTGAATGTTTAGCTTTCTGGCACATCTAAAATACATTTACTAACCCCTGACTGTGGACCATGGATTATATATTATGCTTCCAGGTCTTCATACATGATATATGCCGCTGTGGACATTTTTTTTCTTCTCTTTATTCTTTAGCTCCGCCTTTTTTGCAAGAGTTGCTAGAAGCAACAGGAAGCGACAACCCCAAAAAAGAAGAGTGCGGGCTGGAAGAGGAAAAAAAAATAAAAACACAAAGGGGAGGCCGAGATCATATCGCTTGATTGGCTTCAGATCCACTGCTGGTCTGAGAAATCCCTGATCCTGGACCCGCGACCCTGAGACCACTTGAGACCCGCTTCTGTAGGAGTTATATACGTGGCAGCAGATTAATGAGCATGTCCTCCTCATAAAGCTAAAGTGAAGCTTTTACCTGCCACAAGAGAGAGAAACACACGGGGTGAGTATGAAACAGTCGCTTACATGAAGCTGCTTGTGCTTCGTGTGTGTGTGTGTGTGACACTTTGTCCGCGGACATTTATGTAATGTGGCACAGATGTGGAGGTGGATCTTTCTCCTGTCTCGACTTTAACTGTCTTGTTTTTTCTCCCCCCCACACCCCGTCCGCCACGTCAGTGATCATGTAGGTGAGGAAGAGTGGGGGAGTAAAAAAGTGCGTGTGTCCTGTTGTTGCTCCACTTTCTTTTAATGCAGTTTAATTAACAAAGGAGCGCTATGGAGGAGCACCACGTGTCGGCACTGAGGCGTCTGTCCTGGCCTGTTCTCTCCGCCCACCGGTCTTCCATGTCCGGCTGTGTTTGAGTTGATCAAGTGGATATACATGATCGTGTGTCTGATAATCGATACTGACAGGTTTGCTGATCAACGGACCTCAGTGCTGTGAGACAGTCAGTGAAAAGCTCCAGATGTTGTGTGCTAGAGTCTGTCCTCTCTGTCTTATTGCTTCCTCCTGGTGTGAGCTGCTCTGTCACTGGAAACGACATGAGGAGATGGTTTATTAAAGGTGACAAGTCCTGTGCAGTCGGACCACCTGTAGGACCAGATGAGGGTCTGACACAAAGACCCCACCAGTCATTATGAGACAGTGAGGGACTTTCAGCAGACTAATTCTGGTATACTTTCATTTTAAATCAGAAGTGTTGTTGTGACAGTAAGGTGGGGACAGTGTGAGGGTTAAAGGGTTAAATGATTTTAATATGTCAGATATGTGATGAGGTAGAACTTATATAGTTTGCAATCTGAAGTTTATTTTTTTAGTAGTACATATTTAGTTCATAATTAACCAAATGTCAGAGATCTGATCTGTGTTATGCAGTTTTATTACTTAATAAAGTACTAATACCACACTGTAAAAATACTAATAATACAAATACTGCATTTAAATGTAAAGTAAAAGTAAGAATAATCAGGAAAATACACCTAAAGTATTAAAAGTAAAAGTACTCAATGCAGAAAAATGCCCACGGTGTCTGATATATAACTATCATTAGATTATTATTACTCATGTATTAATATAAAGTAACATTTTACCATTGTAGTTGGTAGGGGTGGAGCTAATATTTAATTATTTTTATAGGACTGAAACTATTGATTATTTTCAGATTAATCTGCTGAAATGTTTTTCATTAAAAAATGACTTAAACGATTTTCAGAATCAGTGTCAATTAATATTCTTTGTATCAGCTAATTGTTTCAGCTGTAATTGTATATTATACATATTATATTTTATAAGGTCTTTGTACACTGAAAGAGTAACTAGTAACTAAATCATAATCGTAGTGGATAATCGTAGTGGAGAAAGTAAAGACAATATTTTATCCGAAATGAGCAGAAAACATTAAAGTAAAGCACAAATACCTCAACACAGTACTTGAGTAACTGGTTTTACATTTTGCAGTTAAGTTAACTGTAAACTCAATATCGTTATCAGCCTTAAAGATCCTTTGTTGTTTGAGCTATTAGGAATCAAGAAGATCTGGTAACTTCCTGCAGTTTGACATTTGACAGCACAAGCGCGGTTATTCACCCTCTTCTCTCTTTCTCCTCAACTATTTTCTGTATTTCTCAGCTGCCCTTTGTTTCTGTGCTGCCTCCCCCAGCCGTTGCCTCACAGTCTGCCCACAGGGGAAAGCTGCACAGTAGCAGCGAGCAGTGGATGATAAACACCTAAACTCAGCTTAATTACTTTTATGAGGCATCCAACATCTGGGCTATCTGTGAACTCATAATATGTAATCACTATATATCATAGTTGCGTACTTTTAACTCTAAAGAATAAAACTGAAACTAATGAAACTAAAATAGCATTTAATTCATTTTTTCAACAACATTATAACAAAATGTTCTGGGAAGGTTACCAAAGTTTATACAATATAAAAAAGCTTTTTATTATTGTTTTACACATTTTACAAAAAGGTTATTAAAACCAGCATCAAGTCTTTTTTATTTGGATAATTTAAAGTATCAGCTGTTGAACTTTCTCTGTACGTAATGTTTTTATTGTTAACTTCAGTAGTTCACTCGATGTCTCTAGTTGTTCACAGAAATTGGATAAAAGTTGTTCTGAAGAGTAAACTTATGTTTAATTTTGAAGTAGTTACGTTACATAGTTAGAATCAGCTACTTTTTAAATTAAATTTGAGTTTTTTATAAAAGTCTCATAAAGGTAAAGTCTAAGTCTAATGTTTTTATAGTTTATTTATTTTATTTCTCTGTTTTGCCAAATGAGAGAAGTTATCTTATGTTGCAAGATTTTCAGGTTTTATTTTCAGTTTATTTGCCAGGTCAGTTCTGACCTGAATAGTGTTGACAGGAATTTGTATTTCTTGCAGATACACAGGAATGCAGGCAGACTCTTGTCCACAGACACACTCTGACTCAACTTTCTTTGCACAAGAGGAAGAAATGTGGTGTGTTCAACTCGAATAATGCAACATCTCTTCCTCTTATTAACTAGAGTTTATATTGACCACTTCAACAATTGTGGTTTGGCAGCATATGTGAATTTTCAAACCCTTGACTATAACATGTTTTAGCCATACTTTCACCAGTATTAATGCAGTACATTAACACTTCACTGAATACCTTAAGATATAATTAACCCGAACGCCAAACAACAAGATATTAATTTGTATACCACACTCTTCATTGCCCAAAGCCAGTACTCCTCCTAAAATCTGATGCTCTAAATGGCTGTCTGTGTTTTTTGTTGACAGCATGAAACATCATGTTTGGACTATAACTTTGTAAACATGATTGCTTCATGAGAGAAATGCAGAGTCACTGTTGAATGTAGCAAAACATAGGCCTTTTTTTGGCTGATTTCTAAGATTCAGATGATTTATTAAAGTAACGTTTACAGACTTTTGGATCTGTTGAAACGATGAACTCTTCTACTCACCAACATGTACATTGTGTTTCTGCGCTTTTGTTGCAATACTGAAACTGAAGAAACTATTTTATCTCCAGTCCGACTTCATCTCTGTCACACTTTTTCTGCCCCAGCAAGTCCACTGTGGTAATAGTTTATAGTCTGACACAGCATGATAAGGAACATCTGCAGATTATTTTCTTGATTGAAATCAATGTTTTGTCTATAGGCTGCCAAAAAGTTGTGAAAAGTGCTAATGGTGATTTCCCAGAACCTTTGAACTGTGTTATTTTATCCAACCAGCAGTTAAAACCCCCACAAATGTTCTATTTACCATCATATATGAAAGCGTCAAAGCCTCTAGAAGCCGGAAACAGCACGTTTGGCATTTTTGTTTGAAAAGTGACAATTCATCAAATATAAAAAAATTCTGCCAAATAACTTTCTGTCAGTCGATGTATTGATTACCAGACTAAACGTTTCAGCTCAAGTCACATAAATTTTTGGGTGCAGTGTTAGTTGGCTGAAAGTTACCATGTTAGTCAAAGATATTTACACGAACCTAAATTTAAGATCCTCTAAGATTCACATAAAGACTGTGGACAGGAAACATCATTGTATCCCTGTGTATTAAATTGGTAGGTAATGGTAATGGTATGTAATATGGATTTAAAAAATCCTATTTTGGTTCGAGCTGGGTCATCTTACCTTAAACATCATCAAAAAGGTTATAAGGTTAAAAGCAGGGACAATGTTTTTTGAGCCAACCTCTCATCTGAGTAGAGGATCGGGTTATGAAGATGATGATGATGATGATGATGATGATGCTCATCAGGACCACACAACCACCAGCACTGAATGATGAGTGATATATGTAAGGTATGGACTTAATGTTCAAGTGGAAGGGGTAAACTGTAGATTGAGGTGCAGAGGAAGTGTACCAAACTGGTTCAACAGACTTAAACAAAGGGAAGGAAACAGTGGGATGATGCTCTTTCTGGTTGTGTGCCTGCTTCCTGGCAGGAGGTAGGAGTTGGTGAGGAGGCCGGAGGAAGGGTTAGAAGCAATGGGACAAAAAAGCTGTTTGGGTTGAGTGGTTGAAGGTGCTTCCTGTGCTGGCAGAGTCCTGTGTTAAAGTGTATTTGCTTTAATGCGGCGTTCCATTCAGTGAGTCATTCGGGCTTCAGGAGGTCAGGTACTTTGTCTTGTAGCTCGTGGATTATAAAACGTTTGGGCCAATGTAGAAGAGCATTGATAAATTCTTCTGTGGGTAAAAATGTCACACATTGGAGCACTTTTGCACCCGAAGTACCTGGAGAGCTCTTCAGACGCTTCACTCCGACAGAGGCCAGCACGGCTAGCCACTTAGCTCCAAGCGTGTTGACTCCTGCTGCCTGAATGGTTGAGAGATGTACTGAGAGGTATTTATTAGACAGCCCTCTTTTTCACTGAAAAGTTGGGAAGCGTGGGTGAGGCCCTCAGCACCTCTGTACGATGTCAAAGCTGCACCAATCAATTTTAATATTAACAAAGGGTCAAATGGCCGAGTGTAGTGTGAAAGGAGTTGGTTGTAGTGATGAACCCACAGAGAACTGGTACTACAGTTCCCCTCAGCTTCACAGAGCGTGAGAGCATCTTCCAGCTCATTGTTGTCAACTTAATTGTTTCGATTCCCACCGCTCTTCCCGGAGTCATTCCCAGCTGGATCAGGCAGCAGTTTCCAGTCAGAAAAGCTGACTGTACCACCATCACTCATAAAAACAATACAATACAAAAACACAAAATAAGCTGGTGAACTTAGTGGAACAATTTTATTAAGGCTTTAATTAATATAGATGATAGAGTTGGGCAATGATGATAAATGCAACGAGACAATAGAAATGTGTGTTTACTGTGAGATAAATTGTAATTGTTTGTACTGAGGTAACTTTTAATTATCTCTGGTTGTGCTGGGATAATTGTGGGAAATCAAGTGAGTGAGACTGCTTCATGACAGCATTTGATTTACAGGATTGTCACATCACCGTGATGCAGTTTAGTGGATCAGACACTCCCACCCATAAATCTTATCCGTAATCAGTTTCTGAGAGTTAGTATATTGCGATATGTATTGAGTCAGTATGAAAATATAAAAGTGCACATTGTTTGACAGCAGACTTTATTCATTTTACCCACTCCTAATAGCTGAAACAGTGTTTTTCTACATTCAGCACAGAATTAAAATGGGCCAGTCAGCACCTTGGGACATCTACCAGGTTGTTGAGCTGTGCAGCAGGACTCTAACTACTACACACTGGTAGACAGTGTGAAACAGTCTGTTTTACAAATGGAATTACTAAAGTAGAAAAACAGCCCTTGTTCCCCTTTTGTGGAGTGTAGTGTTACGACAGCTTGTTTTGTTGTTCACTGTATCTGAAATACTACCGCTGAGAACTTACATGACTGCACCGCATCCAGATCTCCTCCTCACACAGTCGATGAGCGTCTGTGGTTCACTGGAATGAGTCTTGAATAAAACAAAATAAAAAAACAAATGGAGGGGTTGTGTTACAGGTTAAATTAGACATTTCTTACAGAGCTCAAGAAAACATGAGCAGAATAGACTAAATATAAATAAAACAAGTGTCTTGTGGTTGGAAAGTTATTTATGAGACGCGCTGTGGCTGTGAGACTGAAAGTAGATTCTGTACTCATTCAGAATTGATATTGAAGCACAGGAGCAGCTGAGGAGCATCTGTTGACTTTGGATGTGAAAGGTTTGGAGTAAACAGTGAATTTTTAGCTGCTGCAATGTGTTATTAGCCTGAAAACAGTTCTGTCTTTACTGCTGCATATCCACCAGCTTCTCACAGCCAAGATATGAGAGGAGTTTATTCTTTGTCCAGTACAGAAACGTTTACATTTTTATTGGTTTTAATATTTTTAGCCGCACTAATGGAGTGGCTCTGTAGATGGTAATATGGGTCGTTGGTTAGTCCACCAGCTTGGTCCAGGCTTAAATATCCTAATATGCCATGGCAAAGAAATCTCAAGCAACATTAAGCATAAAAGGCAGTCATTTATCTCAGATCTGTGAGCTTTAGATTGGGAGTTATTGAATGTTTTTATGTGTCTTCCTGGTTTTAATTGTATCTTCTTCAATCATCTGTTTTAATAGCACAGTAGATTCTTATTGCAAATATACTTTCTGTACTTATTCAAAGTCTGTGTTGAGGAACATTTCGGTTGACATTAGCAGTGAGACCCAACAGGAAAGGTAGTCCGTTGTTTGTTTCCAGTATTTCCAGTAGAACGACTCCGAGCTGCACCTTGGTGCGATGTTTTAAAATATCCTTTTGTCATCTCATTATTCTAACTAATAGCTTAAATAACTGTTGCATCTGATTAGTCTGTCATACTTTGTCTCACAGTCTGTTTGATCCTGGCTATGGCCCACGGCGCCAGTATCCAATATGAGCCAGTTGCAGAGATCGGAGGAGGCGCTTATGGGACGGTTTATAAGGCCCGAGATACAGAGAGCGGGCAGTTTGTGGCTCTGAAGAGTGTGCGTGTCCAGACAGACCACAATGGCCTCCCGGTCTCCACAGTTAGAGAGGTGGCTCTGTTGAAACGGATGGAGCAGTTTGACCACCCCAATGTGGTCAGGTAAGGCCGTTATCAAAGTGTTCTGTGTTGTCTACAATTCAATGTGAACACCGTTCACAGAAATCACTGTCACTTTTTGTTCATGACAGGCTTATGGATGTATGTGCAACCCAGAGGTCGGACCAGGAGACTAAAGTCACTCTGGTGTTTGAGCATGTGGACCAAGACCTCAAGACGTACCTAGAGAGAGCCCCAGCCCCGGGATTATCCCCAGGCCACATTAAAGTGAGAACTAACTGAATCAATATCTTAACTGAACCACATAATCTATCTAATAGGTTAGAAGGAAGAAAACTGGTTGGAAAGCAGTAACCTTGTTGTAATATTTAGTTTCAAATGAATTATACCTGTGTGTTTTTGCAGGACCTGATGAGGCAGTTGCTGTGCGGTCTTACATTCCTTCACTCTAACCGCGTGATGCATCGAGACCTGAAACCAGAGAATATTCTGGTAACCAGCCAGGGCCAGGTGAAGCTGGCCGACTTTGGACTGGCCAGGATCTACAGCTGCCACATGGCCCTCACTCCTGTGGTAAGAACTCACCTGGACCATACCAATAGTTTTTTTTCTGTCGTGTAATTCCAAAGCATACTATAATTTATTTTATTCATAAAAATCAACCTTCACACCACTCACATATTCCTTCTGGTTATGTTCATGTTAAATTATTATTTGTCTTCTGAATTAATATTCCTGACAACATAGCATAAATGTGATATTTGTTCACTTGCTTACTGCCAAATGTTGGTTTGAGCTGCCTTTAATTCATATTTAAAGAATAGTTTTAGACTAAAAGTCTGCTGTTGTGAAGCAGCACTTGAACGAAATGCTAACTTGCTCACAATGACATTGCTAACATGCTAATATTTGCAAAGTTTAACATCAGATTATAACCTGATATTCATACTGTACTAAAAGGAAGGAGGAAGTTTGCTAGGGAGTGAAAATGGTCAGCAGAAATGCCGCCACAGTGCATGTATTTTAAGCTAAAACATGCAATAAAGTACTGATTGTAGTTTTCCTTCACTTGCCTTTAAAGGATTTGGTCTTTCCCTTGTTATGTCTCCCAGGTGGTGACACTGTGGTACCGACCTCCTGAGGTTTTGCTGCAGTCCAGCTACGCCACGCCTGTGGATATCTGGAGCACCGGCTGCATTTTTGCCGAGATGTTCAGACGCAAGTGAGTCAGAAGAATACTATTCTGATAAAGAAGACTGGTGCTATGCATTTATGTTTATATGTTTGTTATCAGCATGTTATAATTTTATGCAGTATGCGTCACTCAAGAAGAGAACATGACCAGATTTTGATATAATTTGGTGAGAAGAGAGGTCTTAGACAAAGGAATAGTGCATTAGATGGTGATTCTTTAAGTTAAAAAGTAGCAGAGATTTGATTACATGACATGAAGGTACCTTTGCAAGGTGGAAGCTTACAGAGTGAGTTCTAGTTTGTAACTCCTCAGGTCAGCTCAGAGTTTGAAATTTTAAAAACTTTAAAATGGAGTTGCTTCACACAGACATCAATCATGTCAAACACGTCTCTGGTAAGAATTTACTTTGCCAAATACGTTTTGGAGGAAACCACCGCTTGGATAATGTTCACTGGCAATGTTTTTTCCAATCCGGAAATAGCTTTATCCTGCACATAAATCACAGGTAGAGAGGGTAGGGGGAACAAAGCACAGGGCCATGTTCTGCCTCTTATTTGTTGTTAGATTAAGGTTACTAAATCACTTGGTTAAGGTTAGGGAAGGATTGTGGCTTTAGTTAAATATTGACAAAAGTTTTGTCCAGTCAGAGCTGACTTCTTCAAATTTAACCAAGATTAGATATTTCCCCAACCTAAACTAAGCAGTTCTTCTCTTCTTCTCTTCTTCTCTTCTTCTCTTCTTGCAGCTGCCTAAATGTAATGGAATAAAAGGTTACTCATGGTTACGTTTATTGTAATATATTGTAAAGAAAACAAATATACATTGACAATGAACAGTTTGCACACATTAAATATAAATGTTTCCTTGTTATGTTGTTTGAAAAAACTACAGTAGGTGCACTTGTTAAGTAATGATGAGAGTGTCCAAATTTTAACTCCAACCTATCACACATTTTTGTGAGAGCAACAGTGATGAGTTTCCCAACAGTTCAGGAGGGTTTAGATTTAATCTGTAAATGTTCACATTACGAGGTTATCTGCGGCTCTGGGGAAATCTGGTCTGGAGCCTCTGACTGTCGGGAGGTGAACAGCTGGGCTTTTGCTACAGGCATTATATTACAGCACACAGGAAAATTTTATTTCAGCTCCTCTTCCAACCAAGTCTACAATAAATTTACTCCAGACATACCAAAATAGATTTTGGACTCCAAAGATGTTAAATGTGACCCGGGTGTGAAGTGGGTATTGACACATGCTGTAGTTGTACACAGTCATGGCATGCATGCTGATACAAACCCAGCTCACAGACTTTGACCTGCATAACAACACATCCAAACATTACAGTTGTTAGCAGGCCCACAGACACTTTCTGCAAGCAACAGTCTTAATGTGTGACTTTAAGTCAACTTATTCTGCTCGAGGGACCCTGGAGTATTTTATGATTTTTAACTCGCATCAGTCTTGTTTTGAAACATTTCTCCCAGATCAGCCAAGAACCAGTGCAGTCACATACACAGTAGCTCCATCTAGTGGTAAAAATGACACATTGCATACATTTAGTAAAGAGATTCATGTCTCAAAATAATTGCCTTGGGAACAGTTAGTATAATGATTGTGATTATATAATGATAAATTGCTAAAGCAGCGGTACAGCGTTATAATATTATAGTGTTATAAACAATTAAGAAGTGGCTCTCACTGATACTAATACAAACAGTAAAATTATTCAACTTGCCCTTCATGCCGAACATCTAATCTGTGTCTAAAGGACATAATGTTACTGTTTGCCCTCCTGCACAAACAGGAATTGCAAAGACGTGTGAATTAGTAAAATGGCATCTAACTTGACTTTGTTACAACCTTTGTGTCTGTTAGACCTTTGTTCTGCGGAGAATCCGAAGTGGACCAACTCGGGAAAATTCTTGAGTGAGTAACAGATGGTTTCCATCACATTTAATGGATGTATTGGTAATTGATTCATACTATACATACTTACTTACATTGAAAATGATATGTAATTTCAGAGTTATTGGCTTGCCACCAGAGGAGGAGTGGCCAACCGATGTCACACTCTCAAGAAAAAACTTTCCCCCTCTCTTACCTCGCCCAATCACTGACTTGGTTCCAGAGATAAATGAGCAGGGGGCACAACTATTGCTGGTAAGACTTCACCATGAATTAAAAATTAAAGTGACAGTCCATCATATATGGTAATTAGCTTTCAGCTGTAAAGAAAGTTGAAATAGGACAGTAACAGATACAGAAACTCACTCATGGTCTGATGATGTTCAACACAAGCCACAAGTATTTCACTGATGCAATATTAAAAATCCTTGTGACTAATGTTACTTATCCAGCTGGTTAAACTAGAGGAGAGAGAAGGACTTCCAGCAGTTCTATTTAAAGAAAACTATTCTTTCTGCATTATAATTAACAGTGCTGGTAAAACTGAAAATAAGACTTAAAATCACAACTTTTCTAATTAATATTTAGTTAACTAACAGATCTAACCAGATTCATATTTACCGTACACACGAGAGTGGCATCAATCTCCTCATCTAACTCTCTGCAAGAAATCGAATCAAAGTATTTCTCAATGTCAGGCTGTTCCTTTAAGACCTGAAAGCTGACTGTGACGCAGCTATAATATCCTGCTATTCTTTCTTCCACAGAAAATGCTGACCTTCGACCCCTTCAAACGAATATCTGCCCTGAATGCCCTAGAACATCCATATTTCCAGGACGAGGAGACATTGACTCAGACAAAAAGCTGAAATGATGCAGTGAAACATGCAGCGAGAGGTAACAGTGTCTAAGTTTAGACCTGGCCTAACCATAAAGGATTTCAGTTTCATTCAGTGCATTGCCTTTCAAGACGTCTGGGTTTTGCTTTGGGATTATTTTCTTGTCACTCCTGCATCAAAAAAAAAAAGGATTAAAACCTGAGAAATGGGGGCAAAAAAAAAGAAGAGGAGTGAACTTAAAGATCACTGGCATGCTTTCCAACATGTAAATGTCACAATTAATGATGTTAACATGTCATGTTTTCAAGGACAGTACCAGTTTTTTTGATGTTTGATTTCTGTGTCAGTGTCATCAGAAGGGACTGATAAACAGAAACGTCTGTCATCTCCTCTCAAATGTTGCTCTTGTTATTGTTGTACAGTGTTTAGACAGGCGGAGATGACGTCTTTTCTTGTTACAGGCTGAACAAAGTCTGACAAAAATGACACCTCAGGGTTAGAGCAGCCAGTCGTCAGTGATCTTAGTGTATTTGTGTTAATATTTATCATACAAAAGGAACAAAACACCGTAAGCCTGTGACGTCATTAAGCTGTATGAAAATCATGAGGAAAAGAAAGAACAGTTCGAAGCAGTAGAAGAAACACACATGACAAAAATACTGGTATTGCCCTTAAATAGTCTCATAAAATGGAAGAATAGTTTCTTTTATTTGGAGGACTGAAGGGTTGGACTTCATTTCATGTGTAACATTTTTTGCTAAAAACCATTTAAAATCAACCAGCACTGCAACTACAAATGAATAAAAAAACTTTAATCACATTCAGATTTCTTTTGTGTATTATTATACAGATGGCAGTCCGTTTTAACTCACTATACTGCATTTTGTCCTCTAATATTGAAGAAATAAATGAATGAATGACTGTCAGTCAGTCAGAGGTGTTTTCTTTTTTCCCGGTTGAATTGCTATTGTCACATAACCCCCTGAGTTTGTCCAGTCCCTGATGACATCTTTTTCAAACTTTAAACTTAAAATACATTTATACAAGTTTCTCACTTTATGCCACTGTTTTCACAGGCTGAGTATACTTCCCATGGGAGAGCGTGCTCCATACTACTAAAGTTTTTCAGGATGAGAAAGAGGAGGAAAGCACAGCAGTGTTGAAGAGGTGCCAACCACAACCACAAAGTACAGGTGTGGAGGAAGATAGTCGCACACTCGTAGCCACGATGCAAAATGTCAACCTGTTGGTAAAACAACTCATAGCACCTCTTCAGATTGCTTGAATTCGTCACTGTGGTCACAATATTATGAATTAACTCGTACAAAAAGCTGCAATATTTCCCCTCAATATATTGTTAAAGTGCAAACATTCATACATAATATAACTTTTAACAACTACAAGTCTTATAGTAAGTTGAAGAAATAATTTAACGTTTGGAGAAATAATTTTATTAGCTTTCTAACTGAGAGATGAGAAGATAGCATTCTTGTATCTGAATAGTGAAAATGAAGCTGCCACTAGTAATCGGTTCGCTTAGCTTAGCATAAAGACTGCAAACAGGGGACTACTAGCCAATGACATTTTGGACTGCCTATTTGCTTCCCTGCTGAGGGTTAGAGGAGAAGATTTATACTATTTATATGTAGCTGGCGCCAAGAGCTGATTGGCTTATCTTAGCATAACACTGCAAACCAGGATTGGTTGGATTGCTTCTGCAACGTAGTTTTAAAAAAAACTGTAATTGATTTTTCTTTGAAAGCTGCAAGAAGGTCCTCAGTCTCTATTGAGCAAAGTTCATTGAGACTGGTTTGTTAGTCCACCTGATAAAGTACATATTTAGCTTATAGGTGTGAAAATTGTATCAGTCTTCTCCTTTAAGCAGTAAAATGATCTACCCAGTAGCACTTAACTTATATCAAACTCCAGCTTTTTGCACATTATTTCTTATTCCTTCCTATATTATTATCTGGCACTATTTCATCAAAATAAGAAACAAACTATAAATTAAAATATGTAAATCAAAAAAAAAATCAAAGAGCAAAAAATATCTTTACTGCTGAGCTACAAATCTACACATCTAACTACTTTTTGACCTAAGGCCTATAGTATTTACTTAAAGCAAACTGTGGCCCTAAAATATTAATGTGCACACATTATCCACATCCCAAAGTAGATTTTTACAACAGCTTTTATTTTTCTCCCTGTAATCTTTACAGTTTAATCTTCTTTGGCTGTAATTGCTGTGCTTTGAAGGCTCAAAGTATTCTGTTCATTTAAATGGAATTTGGAAACTCATGTTTAGCTGAGAGTGACAAAAAAAAAAAGCAAATTAAGTTGATTTTTGAGAAATATTTGTTAGGGCTATTTTGTGCATCTTTTATTTTCATACAACAAATGATTTTCCTCTCTTCTACATTCTTCTTCTGTCCTGCATCACCTGCATACCCAAATTAGTATCTTCAGTTTCCTCTCCATGGAGTTTAATTACATGCTGCTTAATTCAGCCTCCCTTCCTACACATTTTTTATTCTCTTTCCATTTTTCTGAAATGATCCATAGACATCCAGATTCTTTCCTCTTGTGCATCCTCACTCTCTCTCTCAGAGGGCACATGACAGTAGGCATTTGGAAGGAGAGAGAGAGAGACAGAGCAGGAGCTGCCCATAAATTGCTTTGGAAAAAGGAGAGGGGAGAGAAAGAGCTGGAGACAGAGCAGATGCATTGGCAGGAGCAGAGCTGAGGGTTTTTCTTTCTCCCTCCTGTCTCTTTTGTTGTGTCGGCACAGATAAAAATCTGATGAACGTGGGCAAGGACCACCACCACCACCTGACTGCAAGCCTCTCATCCTCAGCCTGTTTGCCGGAGCTGGAGCCAGTGTGGAGCTGGGTGTGCGGCAGGCTAACAGGGTAGCGGGGGGGCTGCGAGGCTCTGTGGCAGCGAGAAGAGGAGGAAAAAAAAGGAGGAGGGGCTGTGGTGAGCTGGTGGGCTTCCTCTGCCTCACAGACACATTTTATTGACTTGCTAATTGGATGAGGCACTCGGAGGAGAGGATGCGGTGAACGAGAAGAGCTGCTCTCTAGAGGAGGGATACAGGCACAAGGAGGCATTGCTCGGGTTGCGTAAATCCGGCCACTTCATCTCTCTCTTTTTTTAATTTTCTGGAGACATAACAACAGATGTTTTTCAGAATCTCCCAGTGACCTGCGCACCGTGCATACATAATTGTATGCATGACATTGTCGAACGGAGGCTCCAGCTGCCAGACGCTTCGTGACAAGTAAATGATTTCCATTTTGATGTTTTTGCACCCTGTTCCCTTTCACCAGTTTTTTTCTCTTGGACTCATCAGCTGGAGCTCTTTTTTCCCTCAGCCTTGTTTGATGTGCCATTTGATATGAATGGTTATCAGATGGCGAGGTAAATTCTTCATCAAATCAAATGTGCAAGGAACTGTGCAATGGATATTCTTGGGGAAAAATGAAGGTATGATATGAGCAAAGGCTGAGACACATACTGTAGTAAGGTGGCATTATTCATCCAATATTCATTTTAAGTCAAGAAATGGATCAACCGAATGTGTTGAGTGTTGCATAATTCCAGGCTGAAATCTGAGGCAAAGACATCAACACAAAAAAAGAAATGTGTCCTTATGTATATCTGTGTGTGCCTACATGTTAGATCTATATAAAATAAATGGGTTTAGGAAGGAAAGCCAAGAAAAGAGAGGGGAGGATTATGAATGAATCAGTGGTAGAGACCAGTAGTAGCGGTGTGCATTGAGGGGGATTAATGGAAGCATTAAAAAAAACAGTCTAGACTTGTTTCACCACTGGGTCAGGCTTTTAAATATATTCTGGAAATTTGCAATTCCAAGTATTCCTCTTTCTTTTGCACTGACTCTTCATATCTTTATTTTAAAAGGAAACTGGGGGTTCCTGTTAAGTGCACAGGCCCACTATCAGACACAATCAGCTACACAAGGTGTGATCAGGTGTCTGTGTTTGATCTTAGATTGTCTTTCTCCTCTGCTTCAGTCTTATCCTGGTTGTCATGACTGAGGTGAGCAGGTCTGGCTAGGTCAGAGAGCAGGTGCCACTGTGCTGAAGTCTGCTGTCCCAATGAGCAAGGCGGGCAACCCACAGAGACGCACCACCTACCTCATTTCCCTCACTCTGGTGAAGGTTGAGGCTGTGCCAGAGGATGTAGCCGAGAACCAGAAGGAGGCTCTTCCAGAGGGGGAAGGGAGCCCTAAGAAGGAAGAGGAGGAGGAGCAGGGGGAGGAGGAGGAGAAAGAGGTGAGCAATGCCCCTGAAAAGGAGGAAGGACCTGTATGTACACAAGTGGTGGGGAAAGAACACACACAGGTGGAAGAAGAAGTGGAGCAGGTGCCGGTCAAGTATGGCAGCCCCACTGAGAACTGGGGGAAGCCTGAGAGGAGGGAAACTTATGGACACCAAAAAGACCTTGTAACCGTCTGTAAAAGCAAAGACACTTCTTCTTTTGTACACGCACCTGTTAGGCAAATGGTCAAAGTGTATGGAGGGACTACTTCCGAGGGAACTGTGCGCAGGGAGGGGCCTCGCTCAGATGCCTTGCGCCCTAAGACGGAGCTCTACAGAGAGCCCCCCATGCTGTTCCTAAAGGGAGAAAATGGAGCAGACCTGAACAGCCGCTTACGTTGCAGCCTCCCTTTTTCCATCCCGCCGCAGGTCAGCCAGCGTCCCGAAGTCCTGATGAGGTCACATGCAGGAGGCAACTCTGCATGCTGGAGGGAACTCAGAGAGGCCAATACAAGCCTGTATCACTCTGCTAAGACTTTGGATCGAAGGGATAACCGTATGGGGGACCAGTCCCCCTTAATGGCAGCTACAACTCTAGGGCCTTACAGGGCATCCTGGGCTGACAGCGATGGAAGGGGCACGCTCATTCGCCCCGGAGCTCCCATCAGTGGTGGATTTTCAGGCATAATGACCAGAGACAGCCCTCAGGGGGAGAGATTTAAGACGGTTTCTATTTCCTTTCCTGCACCTCCTTCCACCGATGCGTCCAGGCCTCAGAGAAAAGGTACAAGTCGTACCCTGGACAACAGCGACCTACATTCCCTCTCCGAGGATCTGAAGAAAGGGAAGGAGAGCCAGGGAGGAACAATCCAGCGAGCTCCTCCCCGCGACCGAAAGATGCTCAAGTTCATTAGTGGCATTTTCACCAAAAGTACAGCGGCGCCGCCCAGTGTCAACGCTGCACCTCCCCTCTATCCAGCTGTGGAAAGGGGCTCCAGTGAGGAGGAAGGTAAGGCCCCCACATGCATCTACTGTATCTGAACACAGAACTTTATGACAGGCTTTTTGTGACAAATGTTACAGGCATACTATTTCATACCAACATTTCTGTCCACGTAATTTAATATATTTGGACTTTTGGAGCCCCACAGTGCTACACATACATACACAACCAACAGAACAACATTTATACAACCCTGTAGAAGAGACAGAAAACTGCTGTTCTGTGAGAATTCGGCAACGGTGGCAAAATAACGCTGTCACATCTGTTGTTTCAGTTCACCCATCAGTGCTCACTTGGGCTGAAATTGAAGCGACTAAGAAGACCATTTTGTTTAATGTGATTACACAAGATCACATATTTATTGTCGCTTACATTGCTCTCTCAGGAGTGGTGTGGACCTAAACCAAACAACATGTTCCCATTCGTACCCAGTAATGCTCTAATGCTCGTCTAACTCATTACTTTAATTAAACACAGTTGTGATATTGAATTATCAGGTGAAATGTTTTGCGCATATTTTCATGCAAAGTGGATTTGAATTTGGCTATAAGAATTAAATGTCTTCTTTTTCTTTTATTTAGAATAAGCTGCTATACTTGAAATAGATGAGATGTGCCTGACACTCTCTGCACACACTGGCTTTGGTTTAAACTCCAGTGGATGTGACTGAATGCTTGTCTGAGATCAAGTCCAAGTCACCTGTAATGTCTTTGAAGGATTTGGTGAAGCAGTGCTACAGTTTCTTTACTGCCCCGAGCTCTCAGTGTATCTGAAACTAGTTCTTAAGTCTATAAAATAACCTTCAGTGATGACATCTGGTGAAAATATGTTGACAATCATATTTAATAATCCTTTATTGAAATGTAACACAAGCCTATAGAAATAAAAACACACAAGGATCTTAATGGCAACAATAGAGCAAACTTTCAAAACAAAATGACATCTGAGTAAGTATTAGCCATATTGCAGGTATTAGGTATTAAAGGGTGAGTTGTTGAAAGAGCTGCATGTTTGCAACAGTTATGTGACACGTTTCCTGTTGATAGTCACAAATGGGTGAGCCATAACTCAGATTTATTAATGATCTGAGCTGAAAAAATGTGTTTATTATTCGATTAGGCAACTACTGAATAAATCAGTAACTATATTTATAATCAGTGAATCCTTTTAGTCATTTTTCAAGCAAAAACACAAAATATTCTTTGCTGCCTTTCTTCATCTTATGTGATATTTCTCTATATTTATGGGTTTTGGATGGGTGTTTGAACAAAATAAGCTTTTTATAAGACGTCACATTGGATTTTAGGAAATTGCTATGGCCATTTTTAACTATTTTCTGACATTTCATGGACATAAACAATCTATTACCCAAATTGTCAGATTAGCTGGTAATGAGGCTGCAGCCCTATAATAATCACTAGATTTACAATATCTAAATGTCAAGGTAATCATCTTGCTTTACAAAAGCTTGATCTATTTCTGAAGATCCTCTAGACCTCCAACAGGTCTGTAATGGAAGTGAATGGAATATTATTTAGCTGTAAGTAAAAACTGACTCACATACAATTAAACTAAAAGCAGTCAGAAATAGATTTTTTAACTTCATTAATGTTGCAGACAAAGTTTAAAATTTTAGTACAGATTGTTCTTTATCGGCTCCACTGTTTATTTTAATAGTGAAAAAGGAAATGTTGTCTATGTCCTTTTATCAATGTACCTAATGTTTTGGACCTCTTTTATGAGGAATTCTGACATACAAACAAATAGAAATGACTGAATTCATTTCTATTTGTTTCTTGTCAAAATCTACAAAAACACTTAATGAAATATTCAGACTTCTCTATTTGAAATAAAGAACATTATGCAACTTTATCAATCTTTAATCTTTATTGATATATTCTAAAGAACAATCCTCTTTGACAGAGAGTGTGGTATTGGAGTAAGCTCTGAATAATTTGTCAGTAGTAAGTGGGACATGAATAATTAAGGTTGGGGATACACAGAGCTGTGTTCATCGGAGGAGTTAGGAGAGAGCGGGAACCTGCTACTTCCTGCTCTGTGCATAGAGTTAATCAGCCTTCAAATGGAGCCCATTCATTCGTCAACGCTATATTGTGTTTAAGTGATTGGGCATGTTTAACCTGTAGTTTTGACATATTGTGTCAGTTTCAGATGATGGATGAACATTATTGATCAAATGTAATTTATAAAACATTGGTTAGCGTTGTCAAAATGTGCAGAGACACACACTTGAATATATTCAGCATCATATGTACACAGGTGGACATCGTGTCTCTGTGCCTCGCACAAACGTCGCTGTATCCGTGAGAGATCATTTATTGTATAGAGACCCGGGCTGGAGGCTTCTGGAAAATGGAGTTGCCATGGCAACAGCAAGCCGTGAGAGATGCTATTTGGTCTGTGGTGGTGACGCCATTGATGGAGGGGAGTATGGGGGTGTGGGGATTGCCCAGAGATGGGGATGAGGAGGTTTAAAGTTCTGTGTCCCCTGGAGAGGTGGCCGATGGTGCGGCTCCGCCCCGAACACATCGTGACCCGACTGCTTCAGTGTGTGGGTGTGTGTGTGTGTGCACAAACACTAACTGTGTTGTTGTCTTTTTACATTGATTTACATCTGTAGGCACCTTCACAAAGTGTGTGTCTGTGTGTGTTTGTCATTTGTCTTTCTCTGTTCAGCCTCATACCTGCAAATCTGTGTGGTGTCCTTTAAGGCTGTGTGTGTGTATGTGTGTGTGTATGTGTGTGTGTGTGTGTGGGTGTGTGTGTTCGTGTTTTATTGAATGCCCATTCACAGAGGTACCTTTGCTGTAATTCTACTGAGGTTAGAGCTAAGGCACTCGAACCTGGCTGTTAAATGCAACCTCACTACAAAGATACCTCCATTAAGTCTTATAATGAACAACTTAAACCTTTATGTAGAGCAATAATGTGCATCAATGTACGTCATTTCACAAAAGAGATCAGCTTATTTTAAGAAGTGTTTCGATTGTCATTTTCTTGACACTAGTGGACTTCTTGTTCCACCTCGTTTCAAGATTGCGGTCCAAAACCTTGAAACTCTCATATAATATCTACTGGCAGAATAATTTCTTTGCAGAAAACCTTTATGGCTCAGTATGAGAGAGTGGGGAACAGAAATATATCCATGACCTCAGAATTAAATAAGAGAGTGAGTTATGGAGTAGTAAAACTGAGAATAAGAATAAATTTAAACAGTCGCTATAGCGCACACTATGACTCCAGTAAAAACCCAGTAAAAAATGCAACTAAGCTCGTTGCCTTTAAGAATTTTTGATCATGTAATTTTTGTTTTAGTATATCGGTGCCAGATCTGATCAAGCATTACTTACTAAACCGACTGCTACACAATAAACCCACACAGCTGGAGGATCATTATCATCACAGTTAAGCAATGAAGTTGATATATTTGGTCATAATCTCACAACTGTTTATCATCATGACACCTTGGAACATAATGTAGGTTTTTAATATTAACACTCAGTCATCATATTGTCACTGCCAAGTGGATTTCCTTATTACTAAAAACCAACACAAACACAGGTCTATTTCAGGCTTCAAAGATTCAATAAATAATAATAGAACTTTTAGTAATGTAAAAGGGAAAATAATAAGAAATGAGACGTTATCACAGGGAGTTTATTTTCATTAGACATATTACACATTTCTCTTCTGATGGTGCCTGTGGACAAAGGTGGTAGTTTGTTTCATTGATTTCAACGGGGACTGAATCCGACCCGGTGGCAGGCATTAGGAATTATGATAGAAATAGTCTTATCGTCGATGGTGTCGTATGCTTATGTATGCCATAAAGACGCATGGGTATTATATTGAGACTGTTTCATAAACAGCTAAAAAGCTCCTTGTAGTACATTTAAAGAAAAGCTTTTGTCTTTATAGGTCTGTTTTATATCGAGGTGCTGAGTGAAATTCTGATGCAGTTCGAAGACTATAAAGAACTGACAGAGGAGTGAGTTTGCTAATCTCCGGCTAATTGCCTCAACCTAAACATGACGTTTTGTAACTAGATAAGTCACGTGACATTAGTTGTCTACTGTCATTTCTAAACGAGCCATTTCTGTTTTGTCTGATATAGAATAAACTAAGAAAAATCCCACTCTCATTCAGTATAAAACATCCATCTTAACAAGTAATTTGGCCTCCTCAAGACTTATTTTACTCGCTAGAAACAAATCAGCAGTGCAATAATTTCCCTTTTCCCAGTGCAGTTTCCTCTTTTTATGGAACATTTTAGAAATCATGGTCGATATAACGTAACAATACTGGATTAGGCAGATCACTGCACTAGTATTAGACTCTGGCTGACTCAATAATAACAACAATAATAGCGCAAAGCTTATCTTTATTTGATTCGCAGATGCAAATCTGCTCCTTCCAAACGTGTTTCTGATTCAGGTTTCACCTTATCAATACCACAGAGGACCAAGTGGCATGTTCTGTCTTGTTTCAGTTGACACTAACTTCTATAAAATCCATGAAATGAGGGATGCTAAATTATCTAATTTTTTTTTGATTAAAACGCTTTCAAGTCAAGAAAAATTACTTTCTTGAAAGGGTTTTTGCAGAAGTGCTGTGTCTAACGATGTTAGGGTAAACTAAAGATATCTGGCTTGCTCGCTAACTTGCACATTGCACATTTGTACACTTTATTGAATTTTCTGGGTGCTGAGTGTCTGGGAGCTGCAGCCTCTCTGCACCCAGTGGGGAGGCATGGGAACCCTAACTGTCCTCACAGGCAGGCAGACCAAACCTGGCTAGCAGTCAGCAATCACACTTTTAAAGGAACACTCCAACATTTTTGGGAAATAGGCTTTTTTAAATTAGTCCAGTGTCAACTTCTTATTTGTACATTCAAAGAAATAGTTCTAGGTCTTGTTTAGCTGAGCTTACCACAAAGACTAGAAGCAGGGGGCATGGTTAGCCTAGTTGTTGTGTTGGTGACTAGTTTGAATTCTAACACCATATAACATGTAAACGGTTTTAGAGTTGTTAAAAAGTATGTTCTTTTGCTTACTCTGTTTACTGTTTGTACCATTGCAGACCCCCTATGGTGCAATCTTAAAGCAGTCTGACATTTTTTAAAAATAGTTTGTTGTCTTGCTCTCAGATGAGATGTTGTTTATGTGCGGAGCTTTTTAGCCTAGCCTGGACTGGAAGCAGGGGAAAACCCAAATGTTAGCTCACAGCTTCCAGCAACTTCAAAGGTGTCTTAAATATAGTTTATATCCTGTATCTTGCAAGTTACCAACACATAAAATTATTCTATCATCATATATATCAATTAATCTCCTTTTTTTGGTCATTATTTTCTCTTTAGCTGCCTGCACCAGCAGTCAAGAATGGACCATGAGCCATACTGTTCAAGAGCTTCACCTGGTAAGCATTATTGGCATTGTTTTTTACAAACCAGTGAGTAGATCGATTTAATGCTAAATTAATACTTTCTTTCTCTGTGTGTTTGCGTGTTTGTGCTTTGCAGGGTGTTTTAGGAGGTCTGTGCAGTGGGAAGTCTGCTCTGGTACACCGACACCTGACAGGAAGTTACCTGCAGCTTGAAAACGCTGAGGGTTGGTTTCACATGACCTCATCTACAACCTTTATGTGTGTTTTTCTGTGACAATGTCAGCACACAACAGACAATACACACTACTTAATAATCTACTTCTCATACACAGGTGTAATTAATACTTAATCAGTTCTTAATACATTAATACTTACATTCAGTTAAATTTAGTTTTATGTCCAAATCATATCAGAAGTTATCTCAGGACACTTTTCATAAAGAGGCCGTCTACAGTACTAAAATTATATATAGAGACCCAACAATTTCCACAATGAGCAAGCACTTGGCGACAGTGACACAGAAAAAAAGGCAGAATCCTTGAGCAGACCCCGGCTCTAGGTGGGCAAGTGTTGGCTTGAACCATCCATTTAGATGATCGAGGACCAGGGCCAGGGCATGCTTTTAATGCTTTTTCTGCTATTACAAGTCAAAATATTTGCTATGAAAAAGGTCTGTAACAAGTTGTGTGTATTCCTACTGTGTATTTCCAGGGCGCCAGTACATTAAAGATGTCCTGGTTGACGGACAGAGCCATGTGTTGATAATCAGAGAAGAGACAGAGCTCCCAGGTGCTCAGGTGGGTTGGAAACTGATTAAACTCGTGGACAACTAATAAAATGTGATGTAATTTAGGTCTTAATCTAGTTTTTTGAGCTCTACTCATCTCCTTCTCAGTTTGCAAGTTGGGTGGATGCAGTTATCTTGGTCTTCAGTTTGGAAAATGAGGCCAGCTTCCAGGAAGTTTACAAAATCTATCACCAGCTCGCTGTCCATCGGCCTGTTTCTGAGATACCTTTCATTGTAGTCGGCACTCAGGGTAAGACACTCACACACAACATGTGCTTTTATTTAAAATTTTATTTTATGGGCTTTCGGTGCATTTGTGATTTGTGTTTTTTTTTAGATAAGATAAGCAGCACCAACCCCAGAGTAATAGATGATGCCAGGGCCAGGCAGCTTTGTTCCGACGTGCGGCGCTGCACTTACTATGAAACCTGTGCGACGTATGGCCTCAATGTGAACAGAGTCTTCACTGACGGTATGTGTCCCTTTCAAAATCAGAGCATGCATCGAGAATTCTGATGCAGAAGTTGCAGAAATATGAAAATGATATGTCTTATTCAGGGCTTACGATTAGGTTTCTTTTTTTGTTCCACAGCTGCTCAGAAGATCATGGCAGCCAAGAAGCAAGCTGCTCTACTGGCTTCCTGTAAATCTCTCCCAAACTCTCCCAGTCACTCTGGAGGCTCCACCCCAGTGTCGGGTGTGTTTCCAGGACAGGTAAGACCCATCTGTTCCACACTGTCTAAAGAAATGGTACTAAGTTGTATCATTTACCTGTACCTTTTCTTACTGAGTGCACTGTATATTTTAGGCTTGCTGTATGGGTATTTTTTCTGCTGTAACAAACTCAATTATCTTCCTTTTCTGCTCAATTATCACTTCATTCATTGCCCCCCCACCCCCCTCCTGCTCTGGCTCTTTCCTCTCATTAGGCCAGTAACGGTGGTCAGAGCAGTGATTACTCCTCATCACTTCCCTCCACTCCTGTTATCAGCCATAAAGAGATTGGCAGGACAGCAAGAGGAGAAAAACAGGAAAGTGCGACGCCCGGGTCTGTCCGCAGTGCCACTCGGAGACGTACCTCCCGATTTGCGGTACATACTCATCAAGTGATTTCTTTTTTTAACTTTTGCCTATTTTAACAGCTTCCCATGTTTAAAAATTCATAAAACTGGGGACACTTATCACGATTCTAGGCACTTAAAGACAAACCCAGGTCCAGGGGAAAAAACTGTGGTTAGCAGTTTATTTACACTATGACATGTTACTGTATCATACTATTTATTTGGCCATTTACCTGAATATACAATACTTTGTCATATCTTTTAGATTATAGTTAACAGTTTGAAAAAAAACAGACAAGCTGTGTCCGTCTGTCAAATATTTGTTTGGAGATAATAAAAGAGGTTACTGGTCACCCTGCATAGTGTGTAGATAATTGCATTCTCTTCAGTGTTTGAAAGCATGAATGAAACAACAAAGGTATCAGAAAAGTAATTTATAACTTAGAAATTACTATAACTTGGTTTGGGCTTTGATTACAAGAGTTGTTTAGGCCAAATGGCATGGATATTGATATTACACTTTTTTTAGATATGGCTTAGATTTATAAGCCAGCTTTTGCAGTCAGCAGGAACTTCATTCACATTTCCAAATACTGTTTATGGCTTTGTGATGAAATGTCAGTTATTGCTTTTCTTGTCTGTCTAGGGCCGGAGAGGCAGCGACTCAAACAGAAGGAGTGCAGACTGTAAGGGCGATCTGGGCAGCGGACGCTCGATTCCCATCAAACAGGTAAGACACAGATTTGCGCTTGATGCAGAAACAAATATGATGTATCTAATGACCCTCCGCAGAGGACATCACACCAGCAGTCTTTTGAAATTAAACGCGTGAGGCAGCCTCATTATGCAGAGTGATGAAGTGTTGTGATCTCGCATATTGGCCTGATGAATAGGAATAGTGGGTGTTTTTGGCAACCAGCAGCCATTGTGCTGCCCGAAATGTGCGAGATGAACACACAAGACGTTGGCAATGAATTCTCCCTCTTTGGTTTTGTCACCTCCATCAGGGCATCTTGCTGAAGCGCAGCGGGAACTCGCTCAACAAAGAGTGGAAGAAGAAGTATGTGACACTGTCCAACGACGGCATACTGTCCTACCACTCCAGTGTCAATGTGAGTCAGTGTGTTGACAGAGCGCTCTGAAGCATTATGCTGCTGAACGCACCACTGACAGATAGTGGTTGATGGTAATGGTTGATGTTTGGCGCTTGGCAGGACTACATGCTGAATGCCCCCGGGAAAGAGATGGACCTACTGCGAGTGACAGTGAAGGTGCCAGGAAAGCGACCACCTCGTGCTGTACCAACCTGCGGCCTTCCAGTCGGGCTTAACGGACGGGTCAAAGATGTGCCAGGACCTGAGGGTGTCAGCCCAGGTCAAAGAATAAACATGTTATTTCTTTATTTTAAAAAGCTAAAACAAATCCTTTCCATAAATAGTACATACGCATGAAACAATAACACAAAATACAATCTAACTAATATTTCTAGAATTATAGCAGTAAACTTTGTTGATACAAATGGAAATATCTTAAATTGAAGATATGTCATAGCTAGTCCTTTTCTTGCTGGGGTACATGAGAGTTAAGCCCTGGATAGGAATGAGCAGATATAGTACTGTAGGGTGAGAAAAAAAAAAAAAAAAGAAAAAGCAGGAGTCAGAACTACAGTAAATGTACTGTTCCTTGGATTTTAAGACTTTTCTGAACCAGAAAGAAAAGAAAAACTGCATGGTGATGCAAAATCTTTGCAAAAGAACAAAAGAGCATCATAAGGGATTTTACAAGTTTTGCAAGTGTGTGAAAGACTTCCGGACTTCTTCAGCCATACTCTGTATCTTTTATTTTCTCTGGTGTTCACACAGAATCAGTAATGTACTTTTTAAATTTCAGTATCTCTGGTTTTTTGTTTGATGTTTGTTTAAATTACTCTATTAATAAATGCATGCTTGGTATCATCTCTTTAGTCCCTGTAAGCGCCAGCAGCCTCCTGCAAGTGGAGGAAATGGAAGGGCTGGGTGGTGCACTGTTCCTGAGGAGTAACAGAGGCGTGCAGAGATGTCCCTCTACGCTATCTAACCACGCTCAAAGTGTTGGTGAGTGAAGGATATTTTAATTTGTGCATATTTAGCTTAAGAACATGTGCCAGATACATTAATTTGATATGTTTTTTTTGTTCTTTTGGCCAGACTCTGCAGTTGAGGGTGTGTCCAGCTCCTCCTCCACCAAAGACGTAGGCTCCTCCTCACCGGTGACAGACAGGAAGAAGCATCGCAGAAAGAAGAGCATGAACCAGAAAGGAGATGCAACCATTGGCCAAGCAGACGGTAAATGCTTAGAACTCCGTATGTGTTTTTATATTCAGCATTTAGCAAACAAAGAAACAATCACACTTTTGACTCAGTGGTGTTAAAGGTAATTGTGATAATTAATGACTTTACATTAATTTGATAAATAGTTTTAACATGTAACATGTATTATTTCCTCTCTTTCTCTCATTGGTCTGTTCCTTGACATTTTCTGTCTTCTTCATGCAGCCAAACGCAAAATGTGGAAACTTAAAAGCTTTGGTAGCTTAAGAAACGTAAGCAAGACAGGTAATGTTGATCTGTCATGTTGCATCTTTCAAACTCAACATCAACTGACTGACTCTGCGCACATCAGTCTGTCTGCTTGTGTTTTCCTAAAGGACATTCAATTGTATCAAGCTTTTGGCTAAACAGTTCTCTAACATGTATTTTTAGTTCATAATGATATCAGACTATTCGAATAATATCTGATGAAAAATCTCTTGTATGTTGTATGTTCATGTGTTCCTGTGTCAGATGAGGATAACTTTGACTTCCTCATCGTGTCGAGCACCGGCCAGACTTGGCACTTTGAAGCTCAGAGTGTGGAGGAGAGGGACTCCTGGGTCCAAGCCATTGAGAGCCAGATCCTGGCCAGCCTGCAGCTGTGTGAGAGCAGCAAAAACAAGGTAAGAATGAACAAAAGGCATACAGTGCACTTTATCGACAATGCGCTGTGGTTGACAATGATAATTTCCTTTTTTAATACTTTATTGTCATTACTCAACCTCATTAATTATATCTGTACTGGGTTTGTAACCCCCAATTAATCATGAACATTTCATATGATTTAAATATGTGGGTGAAGTTTTTATAGATTTCTCCACATTTCCTCTAAAACTTTAAAAATGCAGACGAATCATATTTAGCATTTTTATTTGGGATAACAAAAAAAACGGCATCTGTATCTTCCAAGTATATTGTCTCCACATACGTGAAGCAATCGTGTTCTGTGCCGCAGTACAGCGATAATTTAATTGACAGATGACAAAATATTATGGTTCTATTTACATACGGCCCCAAATGCAGCAGAAATGCCATGTTTTTACACTGCAGGATGTGCCTTTGTTGCATTATATGGAGTGCAGACTAATTAGCCTGCCTGGGGCCGGGCTGTTCTGTGTGAGTTTGCATGTGTTGTGTTTGTGTAGATTTTCTCATGGTGCGCCACATGTATGTTAAGTTAATTCTGCAGTCAGTGCCTTTAACCAAGGCACTGGCTCACTCACATCTGGATCCCTACAGGGATTAATAAAGGATAACTTAACCAACATAATCAGGTGGTGTAGTGTAATACTGGTATCCATTGTGGCATAAAATTGTGTCTGTATTTTCATGTGCTCTGACCACCTCTTATTGCAAGTCTATAGAACAATTCTTTAAACTTTTGTTGGCAAAGTCACACACAGAATAAGACTGAAATCATTTATAGAGTTGTTAGGGTATAGGATGCTACTTGATCTCCAAATTTCCAAACACACTTTTCTATGGAGAAAAAAACTGCATAAAATGATCATACCTTTACTCAAAGTACACCTGAAAATGTATTGAAATAATACTAGTGGAAGGCACAACAGTAGTAAGTAGTAGTAAGCACAATATAGGCAACAGATAGTAAACATGACAACACATTTGTCATACTGCATGAAATGTAAATTCATTATCTGTCCTTGGACGTACATTTGGAGGGCCTTATAATCATATTTGTGTATTTGCACCTTGGGACTCCTGGATAAGAACAGTTTTCTCTCCAGAGAAGCGCGCCTGGACACTCTCCTCAGCCCATTAGGAAACTTTTACTGCTGCTGCTTTTAAAATGGATGAGGGCAGCCGATTACTTTGGCCATTACAAAAACCCATCCCATCTCCAGAACTGTATGTGATCCTGTCCACTAATGGGCTGTGCTGGTTTCTGTTCTTGAGTGGGGAGTATGTCCTGGTGTGGAATTCATTCAATCTTCCAAAAATTGTATTCGCCGCTAATATAATGATTCTCAATAATTACTTTAATCCCATGATGCATTTCTTTATTAGTGTTATGAGAATTATGTGTCCTAGGAGGCCAAAACCAATCATTTTTAAGCTTTAAATGGTCAATGATTATAGCCTTGTACAATAGCTTTGTCACTGGGAATTTTGAAAATTATAGTAATTGTATCAGAGCCATTAGCAGAGCTAATATCACAGAGGGTTAGGCTACTGTGGTGTTTCTCTTATTTTAAAGATATTTAAATATATACTTTGTGTTTTCCACAGACTCGCAAGAACAGCCAAAGTGAAGCAGTGGCTCTGCAGGCAATCCGCAACGCAAAGGGCAACAACTTCTGTGTTGACTGCGATGCTCCAAGTAAGTAGCAAACATAATAATAATAGCTTTTCTCCCCTTTGTACCTGTTCATATCTGTGTCTGGTTTTGGTACATTACCTATCCCGTCTCATTTCAACCCTGTAGATGTGTCCCACCCTTGTCATTTGTTCTTTGCTCACCTTTTTCATTTTCAGAGTCTGTGATGTTAAATATAAGAATCAACCAGTCAAGTTGTGGAGCACTTGAAGCTTCCAACATTTCCACACTACTATAGAAAACCTGGCTTGTCACTGGAAAATGGACTGTTGTTTGGAAACAGCCTTACATACAATTAAACGCTGTATTTAAAAAAAAATACAGTTGGTTGTGTTACTATCTAGCTCTAGTTTCATTCAACAAACTGTGAAAGAAATACAGATTAACTAAGTAACCATTCATGAACATCACTCTTGAAAACAGTCTTTGTTTTTTGTGTGTTTCTTATTTGCAGAGGAAAAATCTGTGTTTTTTGTTAGTGTTGGTGTTGTTTTCATATTGTGTGCTGCTTTATTGAATCTTTTAAATCCATCTGAATCCTCAGCTTTTGTCATCCAGACCTTGAAAGTACTGTTTACTTCTGTAAGAAAGGGGGGGTACAACTATTTTGTCTTGTTTATTTTCAGTCCATCAAGGGAGCAATGAGCTGCAAAGCATATTAATGATGAACATCAGTTTTTCTAGAAAGATAGTCAGCAAAATTTCATTAATTAATTAAAATTTGCGTCTTAGATATCACTAAACCAAACCAAAATAGATCAAATGCGGAATATTCTTCTAATGTTGGAACACTTTCAAGGGCCGCAGCTTCAGGGGAATATATCATTTGGCACACTGGCCACAGATTTAACAGCTCTGCTTTAAAACTTGTCCAAACAGGATTTCATACAACTTCAGGCACTTTTGTGGCATGACTTCGCCAAACTGGCATATTTAAATGGTAGAAATCTGTCAACCCTATACACAAAGTCCAGTTTCAGATGAAGTGGCAGTCTAATTTGTTGTGTTTTTTCCAAGATCCAACCTGGGCCAGTCTGAACCTGGGCGCTCTCATATGCATCGAGTGTTCAGGGATCCACAGAAACTTGGGGACCCACCTGTCACGTGTTCGCTCTTTGGATCTTGATGATCTGCCACGAGAGCTCACGCTGGTTCTCAGTGCCATTGGCAACCACATGGTCAACAGTACATGGGAGGCGCGCACAATGGGCCGCCGTAAACCAGCACCTGATGCTACACGGTAAAGACATTCAGTCAAACAAAGACACTAGTGAGATGTAACATTATTGATGTGACACAGGGCAGCACTGCTTTACTTCAGTGTTTTGCAGTATGAGCTGCATACTTCAAAATCATCTGTGTGAGTTTAAAGTGTCAGTAGAAAGAAATCATCATTCTTTAACAGCAGAAAGACAGGAAGCTGTAAATATATTTCACTGAATATTCATCTTCTTTTCTCTTTGCTTGTTCAGTGAGGAACGGGAGTCGTGGATCAGGGCCAAATATGAGCAGAAACTGTTTGTGGCGCCGTTGCCTCCCCCAACTCCTGGCGAAGGCCCAGATATCACGCTTTCTGGCCGTCTTCTCTTGGCAGTGATGGAGCATAACCTCCCCAAGCTGCTGCTCCTTTTGGCCCACTGCACTAAGGAGGACATTAATGCCCCTCTCAGCCTGGCGCTCTCTTCCAGGTCACTGTTGGCTCTGCGACTGCCTGGCTCTGCCCTGCACGCTGCCTGTCAGCAGGCTGATGTGGTGATGACGCAGCTTCTTGTTTGGGTGCGTTTACCTCCCTCTCTGAAATAGCAGTCATTAAAACTTTTGTCTGATTCGCAGGAAGAAAGATAAGTGAGAGTACAGTATCGACAAGGTGTGAAATATTACATCACAGCAAACCATCATGTTGAGTTATGCAAAACTGGCTAAATAATAAATGTCACCCTTCAAAAACCTTTATGTGATTCCCTCAGCAAAAAATAAAAAGCGTGATGACTCAGCAGACCACTCAAGGGTGATCTATATGTGTGAAAGGTAGTAAAGCTCACTGAGTCACACCTTGTTGGGATAATTTAAGACCTGTCAAAGTTGATCGTTTATACCACATATGATAAAAACCCTCTTTAAAATGTGGAATACAGAGTAATTACATAATCTAATCCAGTTATTTTCTCCCTGTTTTGTGAACGTCCTTCAGTATGGCTGTGATGTGCGGTATCGGGACGCTCAGGGGCAGACAGCGCTGGTCCTGGCTCGCAATGCTGGCAGCCAGGAGTGTGTCGACATCTTGCTTCAGCACGGTTGCCCAAACGAACCAGCGGCCGCGGTCGGATTTGCAGCAGCCGCGACATCCAGCTTCCCTGTTGCTATGACGCCGAGTCTGACAGTTGCCACGACACTCAAGATCTCGCACAAGAGCGGCAGCACCAGCTTGAGTTACAGCACGTCTAGAAGAGCAGTGTCATAATGGGAATATGGCGTGGTGAAGTGTGTGTGTGTGTGT